CCACAACAGCACTGCTGCCACTGTTACTAGAATAAATTTTTGTATTTCCCTTCTTCTGTGGACAATCCTTTTTAATGTGCCTCTTCTCTTTTGTATTTCCCTTCTTCTGTGGACAATCCTTTTTAATGTGCCCCTTCTCCCATTCCCGTTGCTTCTCTCTTATGGTTTTCCCCTACCTGCAAACAGACCTGAACCAAAACCCTCTTCCAGAGAAACCTTTCTTTTCAATTCTTTGGACATAAGGGCATCTTTCACATCATTAACAGAAATTGTAGTTCTACCATATAGCATAGTATCTACAAAATTCTCATATGAACTAGGTAGTGAACACAGTAAAATTAGGGCTTGATCTTCATCTATTTTAACCTTAACCCCTTGAAGATCAAGAATAATACGATTAAAGGTATCAAGATGATCATTTACCTGAGTACTTTCGGACATCCGAAGGGTGTAAAGACGTTGCTTCTGATATAGCTTGTTCATGAGAGAGTTGTTCTGATACTTTTCACACAGTTTATTCCATATCCCACAAGCTCTCGTCTGATCTACAACCTCCCGTAACACCTCATCAATAACTGACAACAAGATCACGAAATGAGCCATTGCCAAAATCACCTTATTCATCTCCTCATCCGTGTCTTTAGAAAACTTGTCTTCTCCCTCAAATGCAGCCGCACATTCTTGTTGAACCAGAAGTGCCATCATCTTGACCTTCTAGAGCGTGAAGTCATTCGACCCATTAAACTTCTCCAGATAAAACTTATACGAGGACATCTTCAATCAATCAGATATGGCTCTGATACCACTTGTTATGAGAAAAAGAGAAAGAAAGCAAATAAAGACACATAGGTTTTACGTGGTTCGGTGAAGATGTTTCAACCTACGTCCACGGGCAGGAACCATAAAGATTTTATTATACTGATTCAAAGAGTTACAATTATGTCATCCGGCTATGAACCATAACTATCTATTTAAAAGCACCCCAAAACACCCTAAACCCTAAGTCCATTTGTTATTAATTAGGATAAGCCCAAAAAGAATCCTGCCAATTGAAACAGTATTTTCGCTTTGGTTTTGGATCGGGTAGACAGCCAAATCTAAGTCACGTCTCAACATTATCATTTTCGAATGATGCCTTATATATGTTTGGTTACTTTGGAGGGCATAATTTTCCAAATAATGTCTATTACTAATCTAAATAAATTTATAACAATTAATTTTTGTTATTATAGGTTCTTTGCATATTCTTCTATCTAATGGCTTTCATTGTACTTATACACAACTTATAAGTGGTTTCCTCTGTTTCCTATAGAAGAAGAGTGGGGAAATGACTTAACTTTTTATTTTTGAATTTCCTTATAATATTAGGATTTGGAGTTTAATTTGTTTCATTCATATTAGGAGGATGGAGTGATGTGCATTAAATTGGCTTTTGGAAAAATTAATGACAGTGCATCTTCAGAGATAATGGCTTGATATAATGGCTTGATGTGTTGATTTTAGAAAACAACTAAATGCCATTTTATTTTATTTTGACATTTGACCAGCTCTAAAGTGCTGTTCTTATCCAGAGAACATGATATTAAGCTATTTTTTTTGTTCATTTATTGTATTTTAAGTATGATTTGACATCTCAATAAAAACAAAAAAATAAAAATAAACAAACATTGTTACATTATACTTATTTATTTATGGTTGTGTAAGAAGAGCTAAAAGAAGGTGGACAAATAACTATATATGATTATTACAATTTCTTGACAAAAGAGGGCCTTTCAGAAATTAAAAAAAAAAAAAAAAACAATAGAACAAAAACCTAATAATCTATCAATATACAAAGTTTTGTTTATTATTAAGCCAACATTTTACTAGATTGAACATAAAGGAACACGCATGAAACTAAAAGTGCAAGTTTTTTCCTTAAGTAGTGCTTATTTATTTATTTATTCAGTTTAATGTAAAAATTAGAATTTTTTTTTTTTTTTTTTTAAACTTATGAATCGATGATGTTTTAATGTTATATGAATTTAATCTACATTGTGATTTGTTGGACTGGGTTTTTAAGCATCACATAGAAGGTTAGTGTAAGGGGAACCAAATGTTATGAATTATTTAAGTCTAATTTGTATGTATATATGCCTGATTTGCATTCCCAAAATGTGGAACAAGAGTGAGTTATGTTATGTATGCACTCAATAATCATTATTATTATTGACTTCTCTGCCATCTGCAACTAATCTTCTTATAGATGATGATGCAATCTCAATCATTGCAATGTATTAGGCGTCGACAACAAACAAGTGATAGTCGATCAAGTAACCAAACATGTATGCATATTTTCTCTCTTTCAAGACAGGATTTTAGGTTATTTGGTCTTAATTCATTCATTTCTTTGTGGCTTTTCTCATTGTTATGTAGTTTTCTTGGTAAGTTTGGAGGATGTTGAAACTAAAAAGAATCTGGTCTGATCTTTTCTCAGCTTAGTTACTTGTGTCCATGTTACCTGTGTACTGTGAAAATTCTATTGATTACTTGTGTACTGATCTTTTTATAACGGAAATGAGATTATCTATACTGATAGCTATAAATCGAATGCGTTTAATATTAATATTATTTTCGATAGTTGATTGATTTTGATTGGATTCTACCTTATTTGTGTATATAAGATTTATTTATGATTTACAGAAGAAAATTAATAAAATTGGTATAATTGGAGGGAAAAGAGAACAAAAATGTCCAATGACTTGAATAATTAATTAAAAGGCCCAAAATCCCAATTATTACAAAATGGGTAAAAATAAAAGAAAGAAATAGAGGAGGCCCCATTTATGCCAGGGAGGATAACACAGTACAGAGCAGTCCCAGAGAGAAATCGTGCAACGAAATGAATGAGAAAGATTTTCCAAGAGATTTCGAGTTCTTTCCGTCAATCCGATTAATCATAGGTGATGTTTATCTTAACTATCTTTATTCTTCCTCCTATGATTAGCGAATAGTTAATTTTCTAGTTTAGGAGTGCAAAACAATTCGGTATGAATTTGTGAGATTATACGCTATTTTGATTTTACGATATTTTTTGGTTCATAAGTATTTTTGTGATTTCTAATTTTAGTGATATTGTGGTCAGATATTTTAATTAGATTAAAGATTGAAACAAATTAGGCATCTGTAATTGTATTTTAATTTGGTTCAAGTAGCAACTAGTGACAGACACCATTTGGAAATCCTGGAATCAATTTTAAACAATTCACATAGGTAATTGTTAAATAGAATTAGACTCTTCTAATTCGTAAGACAGTTTGACTAGTAAATTTTTGTGGTGTCACTAGGGTTCTAGTCTAATCTGGGGAACAGTTAACGAACGTACATTGACTATCAAAAATTTAAAGAAGAGTTGGTTACTAGGCGCGTGTCAGTAACTATAACTAAATTATTTATAAACCAATGAGATTAAATATTTATCGATGATAAAATTCAATATCCAAGTTTTCGATTTCATTCCTAAACTGAAAACTTATTTTCATTCAATTTATCTTTTAGTCATAGATTTTTAGTTTGTTATTTTATTTTTTATTTTTATTTCCAACTTCCAAGATCCCCCATTTTATTTTATGTACATATTAAATTACCTAAAAAAGACCTTTTTGATTCCCTTGGGAGATGACCATAATTTAACTATACTATGTTATTTTTATTTTAGAAGTAGGTTTATTTTATTTAGATTTGACATTGTGTGACGCCTGTCAAATTTTGGCGCCACTACCGGAGAATTCGAATAGGTTTATTTATTTTTTGTTGTTTTTCATTATTTTAAAAATCTTACTTTTCTGTTTTATGTTGTCATCTCATCGCATAGGAAACTTAATCTTCGATCCCGATATTAAGAAGAATACGCGTCGATTGAGAATAGAGACTAGGGAGCATCACCAACAAGAAATAGCAAAAGAATCATCAAGTGAGGATTCTGATTGTGAATTGTCCTACGTATCATCTAACGATTTGAGTTCCAACAAGTTTGAACTGGAAAGAAGATATGGATCAAAGAGCACTAAAGAAGCTGATAGGTCGTAACTTGACCCTCTCTACATCACATTCCCGATGATAGATGGGAACACTGCTTTTGAATTGAAATCGGGACTAATACACTTTTTTTCCTTCTTTCCATGGTTTATCAAGAGAAGAGCCGCATAAGCATCTTCAAGAATTTGATGTTGTTTGCACAAGTACGAAGCCACCAGGAGTTACAGAAGATCAAATCATGTTTCGTGCCTTTCTTTTATCACCGAAAGACGCTGCAAAAGATTGACTATTCAATCTACCTACTGGAAGCGTTACTACATGGATTGACATGAAAATGTAGTTTCTAGAGAAGTACTTTCCTGCCTCATGAGCTGCGATCATGAGAAAAGAGATATGCAGAATCACATAACATACAATGAGTCTTTATTTAAATATTGGGACCGCTTAATGCTTTACTTATTAGATGTCCGCATCACCAAATTTCCGTGCAAATACTGATTTAATATTTTTATGAAGGTTTGACTTCCATTAATAGAAGAATCATTGATGCAGCAAGTGGAGGAGCCTTGATGAACAAAACTCCTAAAGACGCGTAGGACTTACCGAATAACATGATAATAAATTCACAATAGTTCAGACCAAGAGAGATCATAGCAGTTAAGAAAGCAAACGAGGTAAGTTCCATACAATAACTAAGTGAGCTAACATTATTTGTTCGGAAATTTATTGTAGGTAAGATACAAGTAAAGGCTTGTGGGATTTGCAAAGTCCAGGAGCATCTGATTGATATTTGTCCTACATTGACTCAAGAAGTAGATGTCAATGCTACAAGATTCATCCCAAGAACCTAACCACCCTCCACAACACTCTCAAATGGTTCCAAGTAATTCTTTAGAAGATATGATGAAAATTATAGCGTCTAACATGTTGCAATTTTAATAGGAAACTCGGAATAACATAAAGAGCTTGAAAGAACAAATATCTCAAGTGACGAATGAGATACGAGAGATAAAGTCAAGGGAAAAAGGCAAATTGCGCTCGCAACCCGATACTAATCCAAAGAATGTGAGCTCGATTGTTATATGAGGTGACGAAGAATTTGAAGTATCAAAAGTTAGAGTTCTAATGGACATGAATGTTGGATGATATTGAGAAAGAGATATAGTAAGCCAGCAAATGAAACATCAGACAAGGTAACCTCTGAAATACTTACTCATCCTAAGAAGAATTGCAAAAATAAGAAGATGATGGAGATTTTTCGAAAGGTGAAACTGAGTATACCTCTCTTGAATGAGATCAAGCAAGTGCCGAAATATGCAATTTTTTTAAAGATCTTTGCGCAAATTAGAAGAGACCACGAGGAGACGAATGTATAATCACTAGAGAGAGCGTATCTGATGTTTTGCAACGTAGCTTTCTCCTAAATATGGTGATCCATGTATGTTCTCGATTCCTTGTAAGATAGATAAATTGGAGATTAAGCGAGCAATGTTAGATTTAGGAGCTGCAATGAATGTGATGCCTAAATCTATTTACAAATCTTCGAATATTGGGCTTTTAAAAAAAATTGAAATTATTATACAATTAGCCAATAAGACAAATGCTTACCCTGAAGGAATGATTGAAAATATTCTAGTGCAAGTTAATGGATTAATTTTTCCAGTTGATTTTTATATGCTTGATATGCATGATGATAACTCTCTAAATCCTTCGCCAATTTTACTAGGTAAACCATTTATTTGCATCGCACAAACTAAAATTCATGTGTTGTGTAGTGTGAATATCATTTACAAAGGCATGCATGGAATCATTAGATTGAAAGATAAATCTATTCTGGACATAAAATCGAAGCTCCATCTGAATCACTCGAAGCCTATTCACTTAAATAATTATATGAATCTTGTTGAGAATTTTTTTGAGTAATCATCATTTTAAACATATAAATAAAAGAAAAAACTGAAGTGGGTAAGACGGTTCGAAATAGTGCCACCCAATAACTAACATGAAAACTACGTCTAGCAAAAAACATTAAAGAAATGAAGGCAACCCAAGTTTTTATTTATTTAATTTTGTTTAGTTTTTATTATATTTTTTTTATCATGGTCTATGTTTGACTTGAATTATTTATTTTTGTAAGAAATATTTTGGAGAATTTGAAAAAAAAAAGAAAAAAAAACAAAGGGTGAAGTGAGGTGTTAAGTGTGGTCATACTACACTTTGGCCACAAAAACTGGCCACAAAAACAATAAAGAACATATTCCTGAGCCTCCAAATGAAAAAGAGATAAGAAGAGTTATGTTAGGTGTGTCAATTTTTTTCATTAGTTTTTTTATTCAAAATAAATTTGTAAATTACATTTAAAAGAATACAATGAGAAAAATATGGATAAATAATGAAAAGTTATAAAATTTTTGAAATATTCTAAGTTAAAAATTAGTATAATAAATTATATAACATAGAAATAGCATTAAAATACAAATCCAAATTCCATATAAAAATTGAGCATTAATTAAATCTTTGGTGGGTATATATATATTTATTAAGTAACATCGAAATCCGTAATTATTACTTTTCGAACTTATAACTTCACTGTATATCACATTTTTAGGTCATTCTTTACCGAATATATGGTTGCGATATTCTGCAAGAGCCCACAATGGATATGTGTTTTTGTGCAAGGGATAATGTAATACACAAGTCTTCATAAACGCTCCGGTAGTTTCCTATATGATAATATAACCAATGAGAAAAGAGTAAACACGTTTGGTACAAATAAATTTAGGGAAATTTGAAAAAAAAAAAACCCGGTATGTAAGTCAATTATTATTTTTGAATATTTTTTATTTTCACTTTCGCAATTTAGGACATGATGTGTACTCTGGACATTATTTTTGCCCTCCGGCACCCCTTCGTGGCATGGCCGGCGCATACGTGGACGTCGTCATTGCTGTTTTGTCATCCACGTGGTCGTTGGACAGCTTACGTGAAATTATCTTTTTTTTTAGCGTTCACAATTTAGACATTATGTGTACTTCAGACATTATTTTTGCTTTTTGACGAAAAAAAAAAACAATTTGTTATAGATTTATTTTTATTTTTATTTCACTTTGGTCCAATTGGGCCAAATCAAAATTTAAAAAAATATAGTTTTTTTTTTTAAAAAAAAAAAAATCCACATTTCCTATCCGACGACCCTAAAATAATTTGTTTTTTCAGAACCAGAGAGCAAAAATAATACTTGGAGTACACAATCTCCTAAATTACGAAAGTGGAATAATTCCATGTCACCTATCCGACGACCACGCGGACGACAACACAGAAACGGCGACGTCCACGTATGCGTCGGCCATGCCACGAAGGTACACGTGATGGTCACGTGTGTTTTTCCAGTGCTGGGGCAAAAATAATGTCCAGAGTACACATAAAGTCCTAAATTACGAAAGTGAAAAAAATGTTCGAAAATAATAATTGGATCTACCAAAGTGGTATTTTTTGCAATCTTCCAATAAATTTAAGAGTTACAAGTTCAAGAATTTGATACCTTAATACTGAGAAAAACTAAAGCAAGAACCTAATTGAGATGATTCACATACACACCTGTTGAGGAAAATCACCATTTTCCAATTGAGAGTTTATTAGAAACTTTGCACTACGGTGTAATGGCGTGGGGTCCCTGTCACCCTGTTAAATTATAAATATTATTTAACTTACAATCATTAAATAAAAGAAATACATATATATATATATATATATTAATAAACATAACGTTTTGACCTGTCCTGAACGGATTAAAGCCATCGTTGCCCATGCTGTTTGAACCAAATTTGATTCCTTTTCTTGTGACAATGGGACATATTCCTACACAACAAACATTAGGACATATATATTCATATATTCTTATGATTATATGTGATGTCGAAAATATATAAATTTAATTGATTGGATGCTACCAATTTATATTTCATAAATTAAGGCTTTATTTGATGTTAGAAACGAACAATTTGTAGGTGATGTATCTCGAAACAAAGATTATCATATCCTTTTTAACGATCCCATGAGATCCTCTATTCAAAAAATAAATCTTATCTCTCTATTCCCACACACATAATGTGTATATATATAATAGGTAAATTATATAACACCTTCATGTCTTTTGATAAAAAAAATGCAGCTTGAAACCCTCTTGCATTAATGTAGAATTTGCACGAAACACCCTCCTTGTTCAAAACTGATATACGATTCTAAATAAAGACCTAAATTACGCAAGTTATATACAAATAGAAAATGTAAAATATCTTAAATAATTTTTTTGAATAAAATAAATCAATAAATAATTGATCGATCATTTATTTTTACAGTTTCCATAAAAATCAGATAACAATTTGTCTCCAAAAACTATAAAACGAAGGATTAATCAATTATTTTTTTTTTATTCAAAAAAATTATTTAAGATATTTAATATTTTTTATTTGTATAAAAACTTGCGTAATTTAGGTCTTTATTTAGAACCGAACATCAGATTGGACAAAGAGGGTGTTTTACGCAAATTTTACATTAACACGAGGAGTTTCACGCAATAAAGAAAACACCTGCATTTTTATTAAAACACAATGAGGTGTTATATAATTTATACACACATATGTACATCGGGAGATAGGGTGTGTTAATGGACAGAGGATCCTGTCTAATTGACAGACATATGTTCTGGCAAGTATTTTTCTTTTATATTGTTAATTAGATTTAATTGTGTTTAAATTGAAGAAACTAACCTCTTTGGAACACGAAAGATAGCTTTCTCCCCACCCACCATCACTCCTTTGAGTTTTTAGTAGAAATTCAACTCCTTTTTTAACACTATGGCAATTATCATAATTTCTTCCACTTGCTGTTAGTCCCTCAATTGCAAACCAAGTACCATATATAAAACAAATCCCCCAAAATCCATACCTAAAGAAAAAAAAAAAAAAAAAAAAAGAAAGAAAACCGTAAAATATAGATATATAATATGGCATACAAATTAAGATCATAGCATTTCATCATCCATATATTCGAAATAAGAGATATAAATTTGTTTATTAGATTGTATTCTCCTTGGCTTGATAAAAAAAAAGGTATCATTTCCCATAAGTTAAAATCCAATGAAGAATGTCTTTCAAATACGATTGAGATTGTTGTCGAATAAAATTGTCCATCTATATCGACGGAGTTTTGTGTAGAATTTTACAAAATGCATATAGTTGTACGGATTATACAAATTTTATTCTATACAGAATAAAAATAAGCATATGTATACTTATCAAAGTATCTGGACACATATTTTAAATTTATTTTTAAACGTATAAATTACACTATATCTTGAAATTCATCTAAACACCATTTCATTCATCTTCTCTAGAAAAAAAAATATACATTTTATAACAAAAAAACACTCTTTAACTTTAAAAAACAATTTAAAGAAAGTCCGTCATCCATATATTAATTACTGCATATTAAATATATTTCAAAGAAGAGACTAAAAAAAAACTATAAGGTTGTGTTCTTTTGTGAGTTTTACGATTTTTATTATTCAAATTCTTTTTTTCCTTAAAAACATCAAATCAAACAATTATTTTTTTTTTTTATAAATTTATTTTACATTCAAAATATTATATAAATATTTATTTATATCACATAAACAACTATTCAAATTCAATTTTTTACTATTCAAATATCCAAACCCAAAATCCCAAACCCACAAAAAAACGCACCCTTCAATTATTTCTAATGTAGTAAAATATACCATGAACCATCGTGTCTTTGAGCACTTTGAATATAGTCAATAGCTTTCACAATGAAGCTCCTGATCTCTTTTTGTCGATAATGTGGATGCATCTTTTGAAACAAAATAAGGGCTTGGATAACTGATGATGTGCACTCAACATATCTGTTTCATACTTCAAATGATTCATATCTTCAAACAAACAGTAAAGATATTAATTAACTCCATAAAATATATACACAATTCCTTATACTCTTACTCGTGCTCGATAACAATGTCAGCAAAAATTTCTGTAGGATTTAATATCTGCAAAATTAAGTAATTTTATCAAGAAACGATTCGCTTACTGAGATATAAAATTTAGAGCTCGCAAAAACTGATCCGACACGAAATAATTGGGTTTGGGGTCAAAGATTTCAACGCGATTATGTATACAAGTTGACACGAACCCGACACGAATCGACCCATTGCTAGTTCTAATAAAATTAATAAATTAAAAAACTCTTACAAAATACTCCCTTCGTCCGTTGAACTTACCATTAAAAATATTCTTATATTTGTATATATATATATATTTTGTTCTAAATATCATTCTATTAGTTTTATAATACACTAATGGAAGTATTTATGCAATTTTTTTTCTTAATTTATACCATATTTTGAATAATAATTGATATTCAAATATCAAGCCACAAAAAGTAAATGAGACCTTAAAGACACGGAGTTAGTATATGGTATAATCATGCAAATATTTTGATAATGTTGTTACAAAATTATGGGAAAAGAAACACAAACATTAAAAAATGATCGAAGAATGTTACCTCTAGCCACTCGGCAGCTTGTGCGGGCTCCCATACAGCGATCCCACCATTTTTACTCTACAATTTTCATGTAATAATAATAATAATAATATATTATTAGTATTTAAATTGAAGGTTTATTTAATTAAGATTTTTAATAGATTTTTTTCTTTCACTATCACTATTATTTTAAATCTTTGTTTTTTTTTGCAATCATGCATTTTCGTACTTGCAAGGAAAGCAGCAAGTTGACAGCACTGTAAAGTCCTTGGGTCTCCATTTTGTCTCCAACACTCTCAGCTGACATCGTAGATAAGAGAAGGCAACACTGCAAAACAAAATTGAAATATACACTATGACAAAATTGATCATTTAATTAAGTGCTGAAAAAGAAAAAAAAAAAAAAAAAATCAACTTTGGCACATTTAATGTGTAATCTTGTGACCATATATACCTAAGGTGTTAATACTAATGTGGAAAAAGATTTCCCTAATAAGATACGATTAAAATCAAGAAGAATATTTTTTTTTATTTTTTATTTTCGACAAGATTCTTATTTGTTTTTTTATTCGTTCCATTTTTGATTCATCAGCTAGGCATACAAGCCAATTCACAGCAACAAATGTCGATACTTTTAAGGCTTCTGCAGTTGCATCCGACACTTGCCACCCGTGATCTTTGTCTGAAAACGTCCACGAGCCCTTAGAAATACAACGGTTCATTCCTTGAAAGTCGCCCGACGGATCATCCTTCACCTGTAAAATTACAAAAGGGCGATTATCAATTAAGTAAGTCCACAAGAAGGCAATATTTAATTTTGGCCATATCTATTATATTCATTTCTTACCTGAGATTTCTTTATGAACTCATGCCCCTTTCGCAAAGTCTCCCGGACATCATCTGTCATGTCGCTAGCTATCAACGCTTGTACAAGAAAGCAAGCATCCCACAACTGACTCCCAAAGCTCTGCATACACATATACATAAATACATACGTGTGCTTTCTTTCGACATACAAGAAATGATAATAATAATAATAAGACTAAAGCAACTGTAGAAATTGGACGAGGATCCCCTATTAATTGGGTAAAACCAATCAGCATATATAATAAAAGCTGACAACATATATTTACGTAGTCGCACAATATTTATAACACAACATATATTGCGCTAGGTAGAAGCATGTCTTGTCTACGTTTTTTATTTTTATTTTTTATCTTTGCTGATTGAATTAAATCAACACCATTCTGATTTGACCTAATTAGAATCAAAGTAGTTTACCTGGACTTTCATCCCATCTTCAGCAACCCATAAGTAGTCGGGGACTCTAGCAAGGTGCTTCTTGAAATATTCCCCGTCCGGATCCTCCACCCAACAAGCCAACATGCTTAACACCTTCGTCACGTTCCCTATAGTGATGTACCGGCTATTTTCATCTTCGTAATGAACATGCTTCATCGTTTCTTTCAGGGCCTTTTCTCTCAACTTGTTCAAAGGCCAACTGCTCAACACAGGCTCGATTAATAAATAACATGCATCCCAAATTAAGGTTTGTGTCAACGAACGAGCGTAGTAGAGGTCCTCCTGTATTCGAATTGCAATGTTACTGCATATATATGTTGCACTTGAAGCATAATGAAATATTTTTGGAAGTATACCTTCGCGCATAGATGTCTAGTGCTCGTCCACTCGATCTGTTCGTAAGGTTGATCATACACTTCTTCTCTTAATTGTAAAATAAGAGGAGTGATTGAAGCTACAAATTTTTTGCCATATAGATATGACATGGGCAAGTAAACCAATCTGGAGTAGCACCATAATTTGGCTGCATATTATGAACATTGTTCATTAGCATAGTTAGAGATACCCAAAAAAAAAAAAAAAAAAAATTAAATAAAATGAATTTAATAATGCTAATAAATTCAGTCAAAAGAAATGAACAAGAAGCCAATTTAAAAATTACTTCCTCTCCTCTATCCCACATTTCTATCCATGTTACTATTTCCATATCTCTATGTCGATCTGGTTCTTTTTTTGAAAAAAGGATTCCTTATTAATAAATTTATAATTTATCTTAATTTTAATTAGACTAATCAGTAATTTATAATTATTTCTACTGTAATTATTTATTTTTCATTATTTAGTAATTATGTCACCCCTATACAATCTAGTATATACAATACACAAAAACATCATATATGGGATGAAAAAAAAAATTATATAATCTTCACAAGCTAACACACACATACACAAATAAAAATCTCACATAAACGCTTAAAGTTAAAGAGATACACAATATTAATTATTATATAGTCAACCAGGATATTAAATAGCAAGCATGCAAGGCTCTACCTGGATTAACAGGAGAAAATGAAGGGAGAAGCCAAAATTCTGGTGGGATGGGGTTGTTTCCTGACCAATCATACACTCCAAATACCTAAATTTAATGAATTAAAACCAATTTAACTTTATAAAATTGCAAAAAAAAAAAAAAAAAGAAAAAAGAAAGTTCTAAGTTGCTAACAAGAAGGTAGTTAGCCATACTGAAAGCCATATCTTTCCCCAAGAGGGTATTGCTTTTGCAGTGCCGTGATCGAGTATCCATTTTCTTGCTCGGCCGCAGGCATTGTTTTCGCCGCCATCGGGGCCCTGCCCCAGTATGCGCATGCATATATAATTCAGCACCGTGCATATCATTACGCTGTGGCTCTGTATGTGAAGACCCCATCCACCATCCTCATTCTATAAATTTGCAAGAGAAAGAGATCAACTTGGATATGGTGATCTTATATATAATTAAACGAATGAAGAGTAGAAAATTGTTTACATAAATACCTGGTGGCAATAGATATAGCGAAGCATTTCCCTTTTATGCGCGTCTTGCAAAACTATATTGAGATGGCCAGTAATGTATAAAACCATAACCTGTAGCAGTGAAATTCTCGATTTCAATCAGAAGAAACTTGTACATATTTATAATGAGGTACAAATAATCTAAATAAAACAAGAATTATACAAAATTTTTACAAATCTCTTAAATACGATAACTACCATAAATCTAATATATATATTTTCTAATTATATTTTAACCGCACGAAGATGACATCATGATAGTGGATAGAAGCAGATAAATCAATAAAATATAACAATATATACGAGATATGTAACGGGTCATAAATGTATCCGGAGAAAATTTGGCTCTGATACCATATTAGATGACGTAAATGACCGTTTTAGATAAAAGCTGTTAGATATTTTCACGTGCAAGTCTTGCATTCATTCCCTTGCACCGGAGGGGGCGTGTTGGGACTCCCATATTTTAGAAAAATAATTAATGATTTAAACTTTTAGGTGAGACATTCATTCCGATCATCTAAGACAACAATTGTATTTTATTCATCGACATCTCCAATTTGTATAAGTAATTTTATATGCATTTTAGACAGTATAGCAAGAATACCAGCGGTGGAAGAAAGAACAATGGACCGGAGTTTTCTGCGGGCCAATGGCCATCACTTGCTTGCAGCGCTGCGACTAAGCTGACGGCCCTTTTTATGGCGGCTGTTGTCGCCTCGTAAGTGATGTCCTCGCCCTCTCCTACTTTCATTTGTGGTATATTTTGCTTGAATTTTTTGTCGTGTAAGAACTGCAGCACGAAGGTTTATTATTGTTTTTATTGTCACTTCTTCTGCAATCCAAAATTAATGTATTATTTTGTTCGAATTACCTGAAGCCGCCAAAGAAGATCATGGCTCGGCTTGACACTATGACGGCGATCCCAGAAGTCTTGACGAGCTTTCTCCACCTCTTCTCGGTGCTCCGGCGTGCCAAAGTCACGTTCGAATTCCCATGTTTGTCTTCCCACAAAATTGTTGGTGCTGTAAAGGTACGAGTTAGCAGCAGTGCTGGTTGATTGAAGTCCCTCATCTGCAACCTTGAGCCTCCACATGATCGATATTATTCTTGATTAAGATTTAGGTTGTCCAAATTAAAACAAGTCTATATATATATATATATATATATATATATATATGTAGTCTGCAGCATGTAAACTACTTGTATTCATTCCTAAATATTAATTAAAACAGGTACCATGCGTGTTCCAATGAGGCATACAGCTAGCGCGATCATCATTAGTTGTCAATCATGTAAAATCTTCAAATATTATTTTACAACACGTTTATGCTACTCACTATACTGCCTGTTGTATTCAATCTTACAGAATATTGAAGTATATATTATTGTAATTCACATTATTGCCCTTCGAGTTTATTTTATGTTATTTCTTGGTATGTTTGCGGAATATTTCAAAGAAGTGTAGTTCACGTTATACCAGAATTGGCACCCTTGATAGGAGACTCACGTGTTGGGAAGAAGACAAGGTAAGAAGGAGAATATTATTGGGAAACTTATTTGAGTACCTAATTCAAATTAAGTAATATACCGTAATATTCCTTTATCTACTTACCCTGTCAAGTCAAAAATATTTATTCTAGTATTGTTTCAAGAATAATTATGTTTTAGACATAATACTATGGTGAGCAAAGGTTAGAATAAAGCCAATGCACTTAGAATAATGTATATGTATATGTGTATATATACAATTATTGTAATTGAAAATTGCTAATTAATTATAACATGCCCCTTGCAATTTTTATTTGGTATTTGAACTTTTCGAGCAAGAAGGTGAGGAAGCATTTAGTCTATCGATTAATACTTAATAACATATTTGACATCAAAAAATGCTTCAGGAATGACATTCAAAAACAGAATAGGGGTGTATTCGTCAATTTTCTTTATCTCATGTTTGTTTGATATCTTGAACTAGTTTAGTAAAAATATCTAGATTCTTATCCACTGATTAAGTTAAATCAAGTTTAAATCTGAAAAATATTTCAAGCATAAACAATTTATTCAGCAAAGACCTTTCTATATAGATTTCTTCAAATCTCTCATAAACTTCTTTTGCAGAATAATATTTCTCTACATTCTAATCATATAAGTTAATATTATCAATGAATATGGATGTTCATCTAACCCAAATTTTCTATCTCTAGTCAATAAATAATTAAAATTACCATCACTAGCTTCTGTGCTACTAGGACATTTTTCATCTTTTGTTGCAAAATTAAAAAAATAAATTTTGATGTCAATGTGTAATTGTTGGATCCTAAAATTCGGAGTTTCCAAGACCGTTCGTCGATTTGTCGGTGTGGGTTCCGGAAGTACTCCAAAGAGCCTGTCCATCGTTGGATTTTGGGCGGCTCCTTCGGTGGAGCCTGCACGGCTTCGATCTTAAGCGAGGCTTCGAGCCTAAACGATCGATTTCGATGGAGTTAAACTAACATCTACTAAAAATCGGATAAATCTACTGGAAAGCGGATAAAAAACATGTAATTCGAATTAAAATGCATAAAACGAAACTAAAACATGGAAAGAAAATAGAGAAAAATACAATTTCATCTTCTTGTGCGTGTGTGTGATGTATTTTTTCTTAGTTTTAATCCTAAGATAGAATAACCGTCTCTTCGCACTATAAAGGGCAGGTCTAATTATTTTTCCACCACTTTCAACCGCCTGGTAACCTCCCACTACTATCTCCAACTGTCTGGTAACCTCCCACTACTACCTCCAACTGTCTGGTAACCTCCTTCCACTACCTCAAACTGCCTGGTAACCTCATTCCATGAGTCCCTGATAAACTCCTTCCATCAGCTCCTAACCAACCTCCTTCCATCAGCTCCCAACCGCTTCCATTGCCTCTTGACCGAGTTCCATTTGCTCTAAACTTCTTTCATTGCCTCTGGACCAAATCTTCCGTTTACTCCGACTTGTTTCCATCATACTCCTAGCCAGTCCACGGGGATGTGTCCCCAACAGCCTCGAGTTAAATGGAATCTTCGGTTTTCCTCTTGTTGGCTTGTTCCATGGAGCTTTTTGAATAAAGTATGAAAGTGCATAAGCCCTTCACTAATGTTCAATACGAAATTATTAACCCAGGGCCAACGGGGATAGTTATCCCATGATTTGTGGAAGTTGTTGCTTTCTATCTTGTGGATGCAACCTTCCTCTACTTTGTGGAAGCACCGCAGTCCAATTGAGGTAGTTGTTTTCAATCCAATGGAGGCAGCAATTTCTGACCTTATGGAAACATTTTTTCCGGGATGGAGGTGCCATAGTCCAAGGAGTTGCTGTTCTAAGGTCCATGGAGGCTACTGCTTTCGGCCCTGTAGAAGCACCACAATCCACTGGAAGCTATTGCCTTCGGCTCTGTGGAGGCAGCAGTCTTTGGCTCGGAGGCTTGAAGCTCCATTGCTGTTGAGCGGCTCCGTGGCCAATTAGCTCTGCCTACACTTTTATCTTTAAGTCTCATTCTCGTTCAAGTGTTTTTGGACCCATGTCCAACAGTAATAGACCCGGTTGTCATAATACAAGTATCACACATAGGTCACACAAATGCAACACAATAACCGGTAATAAGAATCAACACCAAGTCACCCAAAAACCACACGGTAATCCCACAAAGGAACAAAGAGGACACAAAGTCTATATGGAGGGAGGATATGGGAACTTATCCGGTAATAAGAATCGACACCAGGCGATGGTTTCTCACTCCTACTCCCACAACAAAAACCCACAATACCCATCTCTATATACAACTAAGGAAGAAATAGATAAACCCAGGGATTTAGGAAAAACATCTTGTCGATCAACCACGAAGATGTAGGAACAGATTTCCAATTTTGAAATCGCGAAGTTCTCCGAACGGGAGGAAGAAGTTGAGGAAGGATTTATCTATCAATTCGATAAGATTGTGGGAAAAGAGAGATCTCATATTAAGCAAATCACACCGGGTCGGATCTATTGTTGGATCAGGTTTGGGTCGGGTCGGGTCTAGAACCTGTCAATGAGACGGATCTTGTCCGGATTCTGAAATTCTAGATCTGGATCCGTCCTCCCAATACGGTTTCCGGATTCGGAGCTGGATCTGCCGGAACTGCTCACCATTTTCAGTCATGTCGGATCTATCTAGTTCGGATCCGGTCTTGGGTATCCTTATACACATCAAGTTTGAATTTATGTTCAGGTCAATGTATAAGTTCTATCAATATTTTAAAAATTTCGACAATTAAATTTTAATTAATGGGATATTTCAAACTTAATATTTAAAATCATCTAATTAACAATAAATTATAATATATACTAAATAATCTAATGTTAAGTATATAACTATATAAATATATTAATAAATAATATTATATATAAACATCCGAATTCAGATAAGAACTATAAATACTTAGATCCGGAACCAAATAAAACGAACCTCAATCCAAATACGGATCTCGGATCCATTTGAGTTTCCATATCCGAGGAAATTATGTCAAATATGGATCGGAGTAAATTGACAGGGCTAGTCGGGTTAAACTAAAATAGAAACCCAACAGATCATAACTTTAAAATATAGAAAATACCCTCAATGAATGGAAGAAAACTATGCAAATCATAAACAATTCTTACAAAAACTATATCATAATTTAAATTAAAAAGTTAGAAAGATTAAAAATGACTACTTACCATTAATATATATTGAAAATTAAAATAAATATGGGAGAAATTCGTGGCTGGACATGAGAAAGAAATTATAAATTATTATTTTTCTTTTTTTTTTCATACTTTCATGTGTTGTCTAAAAAACTGATTTTATTATTATTATTAATAAAATTTTTGAAAATGGCCGAAATAATTAACGTGGTGGACGCTCTCTCTTTCAACATAAATATATACGTGTATCCTTTTTTCTTATTTTTATTAATTAAGTGCAGATCACACGCTAAATTTAGTAATTCAACACTGTTGAATATTATCACCATTGATTTAAATGAAATGTCTAAATTAACTAAATTATCCTTAATCAAAAGTTGAAATTCATTCAGCATATATGCATCAGCATATACGTGATCCATAATGATTTGTATTTATCTTTTCTTGGCCAAAAGAATTAGTACAATTTATAACTTGACTGTTCTCATTTTTTGGAACTTATCAGAAATTTAACCTTAAGCTTAGGATTTGTCGTGTTGAAATAATTGAGATAATAAAATAAAAATAAATAAATCCAATATAATTCAATTAGCATTGTCGGATTCGGATCTACAAATTAATTTAGAGTTTTGTGTTCTTCAAGTCTATAGTACAATTCCTCCTGAGAAAACCGCTAGAATTTATGTTGTTACTCTCACGATGAGATATGAAAAGTAATGGATGTTGTGTCTAGACCTGGGATCACAACCATAATTTATATCCCTTATTATTAATTGGTCTAATCACTCAATTAATAAGTTATCGAGTTTCTGCACATAGGAGGCCTGCACTTACTAAATACATTTAAGCCTAATAAATTTAATAGATCACTTAATATAAACTTAACCTGACTGATAGTCCAAATAGTTACATTTAACCCACAATTGGATATTTAATTCAACAATCTTCCACTTGGGTTAAATGTATATTGTATAACCTTATGAGCTCATGAAAATTTTTTGCTATCAGATCCTTTAATAATGTATTTTACCAATCTTATCTATAAATCACATTAACGCGGATCAAAGTGGCCGTCACTGCATTTATCGCAATGGGACTGATCAGTGGTTATGTATATCCCAAAGGACTTATAGAGGATATTCTTGTCCAAGTTAATAATTTGGTTTTCCCGGTCGACTTCTATGTCTGAGAAATGCATGATGAACATTCACCCAACCTATCACCATAACTTTTAGAAAGACCTTTTATGTGTACGATGGATACTAAAATTGATGTGAAGCATGGCAGTATGACGATGGAATTTGATGGGAAAAAAATTAAATTTAAAAATTTTGATGTGATTGAACACCGGTCAGAGTCTCACTCTATTTTCTCGTTAGATGTTATTGACTTTGAAGTTCAAGATGCTTTTACGGTAAAAGGCAAAGATGT